CTTGTTGCCCAGCCCGACCCCGTCTGAGTAGGCACAGTCCAGGCTGGTCCTGAGCCCTGCGCTGCCCTGATGGGGGGGAATCTTCCCCCCCACCCCCGTGCCTGAAGGGAGCTGGGGAGGGCTCCCCGGTGTGTCCTGCGCGTGATGCCCTGTCCTCCTTCCCGAGACTGAGGCACGTGTGGGGCCTTGCGCATCCCCGTGGGGATCAGAGGGAGCCTGGGGGGGGGGTCTGGGAACACGGGGCCTCCGTCCCCCGCCCCTGCTCACACTCCTCACGTGGCCCGGCCTGCTTCCAGGAAGTGGGGGGCAGCGGTGAGATCACCCTCCACCGCGCCCCCTCACAGGCAGATAATAATAGCACCGCCCGGGCCCTTCTGGGAGCGCAGCCAGGGAGGCTGGAAGGAGCGCCCAGCTGTGAGCTGCCCGCACAGAAGCACCGCGGACACCAGGGCCCCGGCACTGAGGGGACACCAGGACCCCCGAGGTCGGGGCCGCGGCTCTAGCCTGGGCTTCCCTGGGCGTCCATTTTCCCAGCAGGAAGGGCAGCTGTCCATGGTGACTGGCTTCTGGAAGGCCAGTCCTGGAGGGACAGCTGCCGGCTGGGTGCCCAGGGGCTGCCTGCTGCTCTCGGAGCTCCGCTGGGTCAGCTGGTGACGTGGGCGGGCCCAGGGGCTCGGGCAGCGGCAGGGCCAGCCAGGATCCCCATCCTGGCAGTACCAACGCCCAAAGTGCCCCCCACTCCCTCTCGGGCCAGCCACAAGCCTTGCCTGGGCCTCGTGGCTCTCCTGCAGCCCCGCGTGCTCCCCACCGCCCCCGCGCAGCCACCGTGCTTCCAGCTGTGCTCCGGGTCCACTGCTGAAAGCCGTGGGGGGAGACCCGCAGGGGCACGGCCCCGCCTCAAGGCCCAGCACCACACAGGGCCCCTGAGCCCCGCAGGAGAGGCCTGAGCACAGAGCAGGACAGGCCCCGGGCACGCCAGGGTGTGAGGCCCAAAATCAGAGTCACACAAGGTGGCGGCTGGTTCTCCACCACAACTCTGCAGCCCTTGGGGCCAGATAATCCCCTCATTGTGGGGGGGGTGTGTGTGCGTGTGTGTGTGTGTGTGTGTGTGTGTGTGTTGAGGGGTGTTTGTGAGAGGGAGAAAGAGAGATCTGTGTACGCGTGGTATGTTGTGTATGAGGTATGTATATTTATATGTATGTGAGTGATATGTGTATGTGCGTATGAGTCATGCGTGTGTGTATGTGTAGTGTGTGGACACATGTGGGGAGGGGTATTGTTTTGCTCAGTGAGTTAGCCGAGATCAAGGGGCACAGGACACGTCGTGTCTCCCCGTCATGTGCCCAGGGCACGTCACGACTCGACCCCCTTGACAGCTGATTGGACGCAGGCGGCATCTCTGCTCCAAAGCCGCCTTCCGAAGGGAAGGGCCGCACAGCGTCACGGCTCACAGCATTGTCGGGAGGTTAAACCAAGACTGTCAGGAGCACAGAGACAGACACAGTGGGCCGGCTGACCCGGGTTCAGTGCCCAGCACCCCACTTGGTCCCCTGATTCCACCGGGTGTGACCCAAAGCCCCCTAAAAATAATTTTCCCCACACATCCTGGAGGAATACTAGAAAACAGGATGTGGTCCCGGCCTATCTAAGCGGACAGCAGCCCGTGCTGTCAGGCCAGAGCTGCACAGGAAGCCTCGAGGCCGCGCTGTCTTTGACTAGCTGTTACAGCAGATCACAAGAAATTAAAATAGCAACTATCACAGACTGGTATGTGAGAGCCCAAGTGGTGTAGGCAGGTGTGTGTTGTGTGTCCGCACATGTGTGCGGCTGTTGCATTTGCATGTACTTTCTGTGGGCGGTGCATGTGTGTGCACATGCATGTGTGCCTGCATTCGTGTGCATGTTTGTGTGCATGTGTGGGGTAGGGTCAGGGTGTCACACACTGCAGGACGTAGAGCAGTGACCCCTGCCTTGACCCACGATGCCAGCCCTCCCCTGGAGACACAGTCACCCATGGGGTGAAGGACCACACATTGAAGGTCACTGCCATGGTCATCTCCTGGGCCACCCCGAGCTGAGCATGGCCTGCCAGGCTCATGCCCTTACTGGTCAGCCCCAGCAGGGGTCCCTTCTAAGCTGGCATGTCCTGGGGTGACCAGAGCAGACTTGGGAGCCCAGAGCTACGCCCACAGGACACTGGCCCCCACCCCGACATCTTCACTCTGGAAGGAGTGGGTGGTGTCCTGGAAAAGCAGAGAGGTGTCCAGGCAGGGTGGGGGCACTGCCCGAGATTGGGGAGCAGCTGGTGGGCAGAGGGTGGTGATGGGGTATGGGGGGCGTGAGGGAGCACCTGTGGAAGGAAGTGCGGCCCACCCCAATGCATCCAGGCGTGATTTGGAAGGTCAGTGTCTTGCCACTTAAGGGGGACTCATACTGGAGGTCCAGTGCCCCCCACCAGGCCATGGCAGCAGCAGCCGCCCTCCACCCTCCCAGAGAGACTGCTGTCCATGCGTGCATAGGAACCAGGTCCCAGGACCCCCGACCTGGCCCCTCACACTCTCATGTGTGGTGGGTTGGGGGGTCGCGCTGAGTGGAGGGTGGCCAGATGCTCAAGGAACCACCCCGTACTTCCCGTGTCTTAGCAGCTGTGCACACGGGGGTCCCGTTGCTGGCTACTAATGGTTGTTTATGGCTCCTGGGTAGGACCCCCTAACTGCCAGCATGCCCTGCCTTAAGTACGCCCCTCGCAGCGCTCCGGCGATCGGGAGCGGTGGGCCCATCAATCTGGGAGAAGCCATCCTGCCAGTTCAGCACCGGTGCCTTCTGGGGCAGGAAGGGGCGCCCCCCCACCCCTGCGGGCTAGTTCCCGCTCTGGGAGGCCTGTTCCAGTCAGGGGCGGGGTGGGGGGCGGGGCGTGGAGGGGCGGGGCCAGCCGGGGCCGGGCAGCCTGGATCAGACCCTCCCCCCAGGACCCAAAGCCCCCTTGGGCATACCCCCTCTGCCCAGCCGCCCGTCCCCCTCCTGGCCTTGGCCAGCCCCCTCCCCACAACGTTGACACAGCCTGCTGGTCCTGCTGTCCCTGCTGGTCACTCTCAGACCAGGCTCTGGCGTCTGGAATGTTCCATCGCTGGGGCCGACTTGGGGCGAATCTCGGTGGGGGGGCGCCCCTCCCCGCCCCCCTGACTGGCGCCCCTTCCCCGCGCAGACCAGGAAAGGCTACCAGAAGACCGTGCTGGAGCTGGACACCCCCAAGGTGGAGCAGGTGCCCGTCGTGGACCTCATGTTCAACGACTTCGGAGAAGCGAACCAGAAGTTCGGGTTCGAAGTGGGCCCGGCTTGCTTCCTGGGCTAGGAGCCGCCCGGCCCAACCAACCTCTGACCTCAGCGCCGTCGCGGGGTCCCTCGCCCGAGCCGCGGAATCACATGACCTAGACCCCCGCGCCCGGGAGACCGAGGTGTTGACGCTCGGGTCCTGAGCCCCCCGCAGACCCCCGCCGGGGGCGGCACCACGGGCAGCCGTGGCCGTTCACTGCAACTCGGTGCTCTTTCGTACACTCCTTCGTGGTGCTATCTGCGTGGACAGGCCTCTGGGTGCCACGGGGGGTGCCGGCCGTGGCCCCCAGGGGACACTCGCGGCCTGCTGCGGCCGGGGCAGGCCCATCCGCCGGGGACCCCGTGCGCGTGGTGCTAACTCCGGGGTTCGGACCGGGACCGGGTGGAGCTGCTGCCTCGCGGGGGCCGCGGCGGCGCAGACTGGACTGCCCTCGGCGTGGCCGGCCGGACACGAGGACCCCAGGGGCCAGCCGGGAGAGGCAGCCCCTTTACTGTGAAGAGCAGGCTGGCCGCGGGCCGGGGGGAGGGCGACCGCCGCCCGCCCCGCAGCTCCAGGCTCCCTGGGACCCTCCGGGGCGAGTCTGGGGCCAGGATGCCCGTCCTTGCCGTGACCTCTGCCGGGAAGGCCAGGTCCGAGAAGTGGCCGTATCTAGGTCATGTGATTCTGTCCAGACCTCTCCCCGCCCTCCGTTGGCCCTCCCAAGCTGATGTCGTTTCTATTGAAGTCAAACGTGTCATTCTCCCCAGACCCCTGGCGACGGTATATTGCAATAAAATCACTTCTTATATTTGCATCGGGTCTCCTGGAGTCATTTTTGAAACTGGATTTTTATGAAAACACCGCGATTGACCAAGTTGCTCACAACACAGTTGTCTCCGGCACGCGGTGTCCCCACCGGAGTCCCCAGCCGCCCTCCAGCCCCAGCGCCCCCTAAGGAGGCTCGGAACAGATTGACTGACTTTATGTTGCTCCTCCAACCGCACTTAAAGAAATGGCAAATAAAATGCTCAGAAAATAAACCAGTGAAAGCCAATTTGTGATTGCTATGGGATTGTCACCTGTATAAATAAGGAAATTAAAATCAATAGGACACAATAAAGTGCCTATTCTCATTTACATAAGTTTTCAACTCTGGAACCCAAAATATATTGCATTAAATTTTATACTTGGATCTCATTGTGGTAAAAACCATGTCGTACCTGTCATTAATAAACTTAAAAAATTCCATGCTAATATATTTTGCAGTTTAAATGAATTTCATTTAGGTAAGGCCTACACATGTAAAAATTTTTTTTTCTCATAGTCAAATTTTCCTTTTCTCTTTTCAGCGGCTCAGACCCCACGATAATCAGGGCTGACTCCTGACCGTGCTCAGGGATCATTCCTGGCAGGCTCGGGGAACCGTGGGGGGTGCTGGGATCAAACCTGGCCCGGCTGTGGGCAAGGCCAGCCACCCTCTAAGGCTCCTTCTGCAGAGACGAATTCCTGTTTTTTCCTTACCCCACTCTCACAGTGGATGAGAGCACCCCAGGATCTGCCGCTGACCTTGGGGTCTTCCTGAGGGTGGGGGAGCTGGCGCCACAGCGGGCAGGAGCACCCCAGGGCAGAGCTCGAGGTCCCAAGGGCCATATAAGAGGAAAGACCCCGCTGGCCGCCGGCCGGGAGCATGGGGCGCGGCCGGGCGGCGGTGCTGGCACTGGTACTGCTGTGTTCTGCGGGGCTCTGCGGCACCCAGACCTGCCCAGGTGAGCTCAGCTGACGGGTGAGGGGCGGGGGCGCCCCAGACACAGCTTGGCGCCCACCATGACGCTCATCCCACCCCTCCTCCCCCAGGGCACCAGACACAGGCCCCGAGGGGCAGCCGAGGGCCCCTGGCAGCCTGGGTAGCTGGGCACACTCCTAGGGTCACTGCCACCTACCTGACCTGGCGCCGTGGCAGGCGCCCGAAGCCGGGGTGGGCGGGGGCCGACAAGCGCTGTGTGTCCGCAGAGGTGAAGGTGCTGGGACTGGATGGCAGCGCCGACAAACTCAGCATCCTCCGAGACTGCCCAGGACTGCCTGGGCCCCCGGGTCCCAAGGGAGAGGCCGGCATGGCAGGAAGGAACGGTAGGTGGCCCCGCCGGCCCGCACAGGTCTCCCCCAGGCTAGGGCTGAGCCGACCAGGGGATCCAGCCCTGAAGCCCCCCGCGCCCCTTCAGTCCCAATCAGCTGCCAGATGGGCTGCAGCTGAGGGGCTGACCCCTCTCCCCCTCGGAGTCCCGGGCTGTCCAGGGCAGGATGCAGAGGGGAGACCCGGAAATTAGGGGCTCCCCGATTCATGTTTCAGAGGAGGGCTGAAGCGGGTCTGCAACCTGGTCCCGGGGCCCCTGTGCCTGGGTGCTGGGGGACCCTTTCCTGCTTCCTGCCCCAGGAGCCCCAGAGACCAGCCCTGGCAAATATCAGCCCCAAACAGCCCCCGGGGGAGCACGGTATCCCAGGGGACCCAGCCCCCCCCCGTAGCTGAAGTCAAGGATGTGCCTTGGATTTGCAGGGGAACGGGGCCTCTCTGGACCCCCCGGAAAGGCAGGACCCCCTGGGCCCAAAGGTAAGAAAACCCTGAGTGGGGGAACCAAGGGGTCCTTTTTCCAGAGCTGGGCCTGCCCCAGGGGACACAGCTCCCTTCCCACCCCCCATGCGGAGACCCGCCTCAGCACAGCTAAGCAAACACAGCTCCTTCCTGGGAGAACCAGGTGGGGCCAGGCCCCCTCTCGGGGCCACACTGCACCCAAGGGAGGGAGATCCGGACAGCGGCTCCCCTCAGCAGTGACCCTGGGGGGGAGAAAGATGAGCTGGGGCTGTGGGCAGGGACTGCCTGTGGCTAGGACAAGGGCCCTGCTGGGACATGGGGTGTGGGGTGAGAGGACAAGGGTCCAGCCAGGACTTCAGGCTGGATGTGTGTGGAGGGGAGGTGGGGTCGGGGACAACAACCCTGCTGGGACAGCAGTCTGGGGGCAGGGACAAGGGCCCCAGGGACGATGGGAGGGGTCTTCGCCAGCAAGAGATGTCCTGGGGGACCCTAAGCAGGAGCCCTAACCCCGCCCCCCCTCCTTGAGGCCTGACTCTGCCCCTGGGCTGTCCTTGAGGCCTGCACAGTTCCCAGACATTGGAGTCAAGGACAGCAGAGACAAGGAGGAACTGGACTCACTCTGGTCCACAAGTTGGTCCGGACACAAGTGCGTTCCACCCATGGACACAGATCTGGTCTATGTGTATGATACAATTAATGGTGTCCATGGTATGTTCTAGAATGTTCCCTTGCAAAATGTCTGGGGAAAGGAGAGAACCATGACCCAGGAACTGAGTCCCCTTGAGGCCCCTCCCCCTCTTACAAAGGGCTTGGGGAGCAGGAGCTGACACAGGGTGAACTATGTGTGTCCCCGTCATGCCCACGGGGCCCCTGAAGTCGCGGTGAGGCCTGAATCCGGCAACCGTCCAGGGGACTCTGCCACCGCTTTCACTGTGGAAACTCTGGTGTCAGTGGACAAAGGGCCCATTTAGTGCCCAGACCCCCACCGCACCCCAGACTCCCCACAGCTGCCACGACAGGGAGCCTGTCCCAGCTGTCCCCAGAGGATGCTGGCCTAGAGACAGGCTCAGGCCTCAGTTTCCCCAGGAGCCCAGCAAGGCCACAGTGACCCTGGGAGTCTGGCATGGGGTGTGGGGGTCAGGGAACAGGGCACAGAGGTCAGAGCTGGGGAGAGGGTCATATGTTCCCTAGTAGTGCCCCTGTGTCTCCGCAGGAGCCTCCTGGGTGGCCGAGCGCTGCCTCTCAGGTGGGTACACAGCGTCCAGGGCCTGGGAGGGGGTCCGGGCCGCCTCACTCTGTGCCAGGCCTGTCACGTGTCAGAGATGCGCAGTCCTGTGCTCCCAGGGTCTGTCCCTCTGTGTCCACCTTCCAGGCCCCCCCAGGTCCACCCCCAGGATCTAGCCCCTGGCGTCCAGCTCATCCAGGGCCACCCTGCAGTGCCCACTCCCAGGACCTAACCCCCAGCCAGTGTCCACACCAGGGTCCACCTGTGTCCCCTAACCTGACATCACCCGCCTGCCCAGGCCCGCGGAGCTGCCGCCAGGTGCTGTCCAGGGGACAGGCCCTCAGTGGCTGGTACACCATCTTCCTGCCCGACTGCCGGCCCCTGGTGGTGCTGTGTGACATGGACACCGATGGCGGGGGCTGGACCGTGAGTGGCAGCGGGACGGGGCCCCGCGGGGCTGAGATTGCTGCCCAGCGGGACACAGGCAAGGGCGACTGTCCCCCATCTCCCGGCCAGTGCGGGAGCAGAGTCCTTGGGCCCCAAGGCCGGGAGCACCCGGGGACCCACGTTGGGGGAGGTGCTGAGGTGACCCGACCCCTGCTCCCCTGCCCCCCACCCACTCCTCCTGGCCCCCGACCCGACCCCCACCCACCCCAGGTCTTCCAGCGCTGCATCGACGGCTCCGTGGACTTCTACCGGGAATGGGCGTCCTACCGGCAGGGCTTCGGCAGCCAGCAGAGCGAGTTCTGGCTGGGCAACGAGAACATCCACACGCTGACCTCCCAGGGTAGGCCAGGGCGGGCGACCCTCACCTCATCATCACTGTCTCAGGAGGGACGCGCGGCCCTCACCCCATCGTCACTCTCTCAGGAGGGGCGGCCCCCAGGGTCCCTGCATCCCCTGACGTGGATCTGGGGCCCCTGAGGCTCAGCACTGCCCCCTCCTGCTCCCCACTCTGGGCACAGTCCGTGGGCTGGGGTGACCCGCTGGCCACTGCCCACAGGCACCTGGGAGCTGCGAGTGGACCTGGTTGACTTCAAGAACGAGAGCCAGTTTGCCCACTACAGGTCTTTCAAGATGGGGAGCGAGAGAGAGCACTACAAGCTGATCCTGGGGCCCTTCCTGCAGGGCAATGCAGGTGAGGGTCCCGCTCACCCCTCCCCGCCCGCTCTGGGTGCACTTCTCCATATGCCCTGCAGGTGGCGTCAGCAGCTCCGTGCAGCTTGGTTGTGGGCCCTGGGCCCCACCCTACGCCTGGAGTTGGGACTTAGGGGTGCCCACCTGCTGAGTGGTCCCTTTCCTCAGGGCTAAAACCCCTCTCACAAGGGGGCCGTGCCCAGCACACTGGGGTCCCCCCAGGCCCCATGAAGTCTGGACCTATGCCCGTGGTGGGTGTCAGCCCCTCGGTGCCTCCAAGCCAACATGGGGCACACCTGCATTTGCAGATCGAGACTACTGCTGAGCCTGCCCCTAGGGAGCAGAGCTGGAGGGGGGGGCAGAGAGGCCTTGGGGCAGAAATGGGCCCTGGTGTGGTGGGGGTCTTGGTCTGGGGAGGACCCATCCCCAGCAGCTGGTCCTGCGCCTCTGCCCCCCCCCGTGCCTGCCAGCCCCAGCCCATCCCTAGCACTGCGTCTGCATGGGGGGTGGGAAGGCCAGAGGGTCCAGGAGCAAGTGGGGGGCCCAGCAGGTGGTCCCAGGTCCCCCTGTCTCTCGTAGGCGACTCCCTGACTCCACATCATGGCCATAAGTTCTCCACCAAGGACAGGGACAATGACAAGAGCACCTCGGGCCACTGCGCCAAGGTATACCAGGGGGCCTGGTGGTACGAAAACTGCCACTGGTCCAACCTCAACGGCCGCTACCTGGGCGGGGAACACGAGAGTTTCGCCAATGGCATCAACTGGCATAAGGGGAAGGGCTTCCACTACAGCTACAAGGCGTCGGAGATGAAGCTGTGGCCCACCTAGGGGCACTGTGGGGGTCACAGCCTGGAGGGGCATGCCCCGCCCTCCCCGATTCCCGGCTTGCTTAAGACCCCTCTAGCTACCCATGTTTCCCGCAAGCTCTGCACCTCACTCGTGATGTAAAAGTGTTTGCTCCTGACTGGAGGCTCTGGCGGCATGTCTGGGAGTGGGGGGCTGGGTGGGGGATCGACCCTCCACGACGGGGCACTCTGGGGTGTCCGGTGAAGTGAGCAGATCTCTGTCCCCTGCCTGGTTCCCTTGACACGGAGCCAAAGCCAGCGCCATCCACAGGGAAGGGGAGACGCGGGGTGGGGGACACCAGCCCTCCACCAGCCCTCCCGGGGTTTGGAGTGAACAGCTGGAGCACACTGGCCACCCTGCCCTGCCTGTCCCCCCACGCTGACCTGCCCGCGTTCACCAGAGCTCAAGGGGCAGAGTGCAGGCTGGCCCGGTGGGGGACCCCGATCCCCACCCCCTGGGTGGGCCTGGGGCCTAGCATGGGCCGAGAAGCACCGGGAGCAGATTCTGAGTGCCTGGTGGCCATGAGACAGAACAGAACGGGGCAAGGACGCAAGGGATGCCGGGCGCCTGGCGCTCGCTCTTTACCTGATTGCGGGGAGGGGGCGCGGGGCCCCACAGGGGACACCGAGGCCTTGGGGTGTGGCAGCCCAAGCACATGCGTGTTCTGAAAGCAGCCAGAGGGGCCAGGATCAGCCCCGAGAGACCCCTGCTGTGGCCCAACCCTCCCCCCAAGGAACCAAAGTAACTAGGAGCAAAGGAGAAAGCGCTGGGCCGTGAGCACTCTCCTGCTGGACCTCCTGCCTCCCTCCCACCAGGCGCGCCCGAAGACGCCCCAGCCCCCACGCTCGGCCGCACCTCCCACCGGGGCACGCGGGGGCCCTGCGTGGCTGGCAGGTGCCAGCAGGTGCCAGGGGGAGAAAGCCCTTGCTCCTGCACCTTTCCGGGCTTTGCACATTTGGAATTTTGTTGGGGGCAGGGGGTAGTCCTGGAGGCCCCACGGTGTCCTCGCTGCGATTCCCGGCCAACCAGGACAGTCCAGGTGCTGCAGGCCTGGGCCCTGCCCGGTTGAGGTGGCCCCTGCCCTGTGCCACCATGCAGCCTTGCCCAGTACTCCCGTCTCTAGAATATTCCTTTTTAAAGGGGGTGGGGCCCGGGGAGGTGGGGACGGCCTGCAGTGGGGGACTGCCGGCGTGGGGGGCACCCACCACCTCGCACACTGCTCCTAAGGCTCCCACATGGGCAGCCATTCCGGCGGGGGCCCGGGCACAGGCGTCCCCGAGGCCCCCTGCCAGGTCTCTCAGGGCAGACAGCCTGTGTGAGCCCCCGTCTGTGCCCAGCCCCACTTCCGGCCAGTCCCTGCCCGGTTCCGGGGCCACTGGCCTCCCCAGGATGTGGGGGCTGAAGGCGGGCATATCTGGCAGGTCACAGGCACCCTCACACTCTCAGCATCCATCGAAAATGTTTTCTTGTCTTGTCTTTGGGCCACACCAGCGATGTGCAGGGGTTCCTCCTGATTCTGCACTCAGGGGTCTCACCTGGCAGCTCGGGGGACCATTTGGGGTGCCGCGGATCGAACCCGGGTCAGCTGCGTGTAAGGCCAGCGCCCGGCCTGCCGTGCTGTAACTCCAGCCCCCCAGTAGTTCATGCTCAGCTGTCTCTCAGCTCAGCAGCGTCCCCCCTCCACCATAGGAAGCCGAAAGCCAATGGCGGGAGGCAGAAGCCCCCCTCGGGGCTGCCCCACCTCTCTCCCCTGGGGAACCCGGGCAGGGCACTGGCTGCAAATCCTAGGCAGGTTCCCAGGTCAGAGGTTTCCTGGCCAGTTCCTTGGGGCCCAAGGGCAGGACTCAGGATGGTTCAAGGTCAGGCCTTTCCCCGGTGGCTCTCCCTGAGCCGGAGAGGCGGGTGCAGGCACGGGCCAAGGGTCACTGCGCCCACCAACTGTGCCTCACTCACCCTCGAGAGTCAGTCCTGAACCCCCCCCCCCCACCACCACCACTGGAAGCTGCAGCCCTGGGTTCAGCAGCCGCAGCCACTTGGGGGCAGCTGGCTTCTCGGAGAACAAGGGGAAACTGGTGACCGGGGGTGACTTCATTCGCAGAGCCCCCTTGTTTAAGAATAAATATGGGGGGCTGGACTGATAGCAGAGTGGGGACGGCGCGTGGTTCCCCGCACCCCATAGGGTCCCCGAGCCCCGCCAGGAGTGATTGCTGAGCACAGAGCCAGGAGTAACCCTGAACTGCCGGTGTGGCCCCAAATAAACCTGGAACCAAGCAACCCCGAGCCCAGGCCGGCAGGTTGGCGAAGTGTGCTCACCTCTCTTTGGGGAGGAGGTGGCTGGGGGCTGGCGGGCAGGGATGCCCCGAGGGTGTGGGGGCCTTGGGAAGGAAAAAGATGGGGACCAGCAGGTCAGGGCAGAGACGGTCGTGAATGGGCACAAACAGGCACCGCCACACACAGACTCACGGGAACGCCAACCCAAGGGCCGCCAAGGGGCGGGCAGCAGAGGGTCGCTGGCCCAGGCCACAGAGGGGCGGCCACCCACGCTGGCCCAGCCGGGGCCTGGCGGCTGTGTCCTCCCTGCCCGAGCCCAGCTGGCCGGACAGCAGCCTTCATGGTACCCCCAGCAGCTGCGTGGGGGAGCAGGGGCCAGAGTGAGGGGGCAGGAAGATGGAGCCCCCTGCCTGAGGCCCCATGGGGAGGGGGTAAGGCAGGAGTGCACCCCTACCCCCTGAAGCTCTAATTTCCTGGGAGAACCTGCCAGGCCTGAGGGCAGAGAGCAGAGCTTACGGGGAACAGTTTGTGTCGAGGAAATTAGAATTTCTGTCCCCGGAGGCCCGTCACAGTGGCCGGCCCACTCAAAACTGCTGGCACCCTCGTCTGAGGTCTGAGTGGGGGTCAGAGGAAGGCCCCTCCTGGCGCCCTCTCCACAGGGGCTCCCGCCCTGTCCCGGGGCAGCGGCAGCCAGTGAGCAGCAGGACACGTGTGGTCTCTGCGTGCATGGACACATGTGTTATATATGTGCATGTTGTGTGCCTGCAAGGACATGTGTGTTCTCTACACGCATGCTGTGTGTGTATGGGCATGTGTGGTCTATGTGTGAGTGCTGTGTGCATGCATGGACACATGTGGTCTATGTGTGCATGCTATGTACATGCATTGTGTGCTGTGTGTCCTATGTTCATGTGTGTTCTGTGCATATATGTGCTGTGTTGCTGTGTGTGCATGCATGTGCTATTTGTGTATGTGTGTGCTGTGTACGCATGTGCATATATGTGTGTGTGTTGTGCGTGTGTTGTGTGTACATGTGTGTGTGTCCTCGCTGGGGTAGCAGCCCCTCTCCTCTCCTGCCGGGTGGGTTCTCCCTCTGGATCATCTCCCTGACTCTGAACTACTCTTGGCGATCCTGCTGGCCTGAGGCTGCCCACTGGCTACCACAGGACAAGCCAGGCTTGGAGCTGGGCAGCTCAGGGCAGCTCGGGATTCCGGCTGAGCTCCAGCCCTGCCCTGGAGCCCTTCCTGAGCTGTTGAGCAAACATTTACCTAGCAGAGGAGAATGGACGGCAGCCGGCAATGGGTTTGTCTCCCAACCTGCTAGGACAGGATCAGCAGCAGAAGGAAGCGAGCTGTGGCCTACGTGTAGGAAGCTAATCCCAGATGCGGAGATGCCCTGGGTGGAACCGCCCACCTCCCCAACACCACCGGAACAGCCTCTGCCATCAGTGTGGAGCACAGGCCTGTGGCTCCGGCTCGCACGGGCTGCCTTCCCGGCACCCCTCGTCCTGGCCACCGGTGGGTGACAGAGTCCCTGTGGCTGCAGGCCTGTGCACTCACAGACTCACAGCCACGGCCTGCGTGCCGCCTCTCCTGCCGAGAACTGCCCAGCCACACTCACAGGCCACTTGTCACCCATCCTCTGACCAGCAACTGGGCAGCAGCAGCTGCAGGAAGAATCCCAGGCAAGCCCCTGATTGGCTGCTCCCGGCCAATCAAGATGCAGATGCAAATGGCTGCGGGACTACGGCCTGTGGCCTGGGCTGCTGAGGCTGACCCTGCGTTGGCCACTCAGGCCCTTGTCCTGGGATTCCTCCATCTTGGCCAACCACGCCAAGGACACTCTAGGCTCAAGACCGCAGCTGGTAAACTCCAGACCCAGCGGGGGAGTTGGGAACGTGAGTGGCCACGTGTCTCCAGCAGTGCACTGTGGACGGATGGGGTCAGAGAACAGGACACGGAGGGCACCTGCCTTGCACGGGGCCCGCCCTGGCTCCATCCCAGCACCACACCTGGGCCTCTGCACTCGTCACGAGCGATCCCTGAGCACAGAGCCAGGAGTCAGCCCTGAGCACCTCCGGGTGTGGCCCAAGAACGATCACGATCATCCTGTTGTTCGTCGATTGCCTTGAGCAGGCCCCAGTAACGTCTCCTTCACCCTAGCCCTGAGATTTTAAAAAGTGCCATATTTAAGGCTCTTTCAGGGCTAGGAGAATGAGACCCATCATTGTTACTGGTTTTTGGCATATTGGGTACATCACGGGGAGTTTGCCAGACTCTGCCATGTGGGCAGGTTACATTTGGTTGCCTACCAGGTTGTCCAAAGTAAGAATGAGATAATAAGATGTCCGGGAGCTGCGTTTTATTGTCTACCGGCCATACCACCCTGAATGCGCCCGATCTCGTCTGATCTTGGAAGCTAAGCAGGGTCAGGCCTGGTTAGTACTTGAATGAGGCCCAAGAACAACAAAAATATTTTTAAAAGAAGCAGAGACATTCCCAAGGGGAGGAGGAACTGGAAGTCACGTGGCGCGGCTGCCTGACGGGGCTGGCACCGAAAGTCCCAGAGGGCAGCGAGTGTCTGATGAGCCCCTCTGGGGGCTGCCCAACCCCCAGCCCCCTCCTGGCTCTGCAGAGACCCCACACGCTACCCTATGGGGTTCCCATCCCTCGCCCGCTGCCAAATTCCAGGAGTGACCCAGAGCTGGCTC